TTGCATACTAAGGAGTGTTTTTTGCATAAGGCATGTTCACCCATGTAGCAGCAAATTATGGCATCACTCACATAGGAGAGTTGCTTCTTAATTTTGCATGCATGACCTGTGCATTTTATTTGTGCCTGATTTATTTCACCAGTGCATCTGTCTGTAAAATCTATAGCAAAGTTATGTAGCAGTTTGATTCTTTCAGCTTTAGTATTTTTGGGCATAATTTTCTGTAAAGATTCATCTTTCTTGATGGCCTTTCTGACATTTTCAGCAAGATGCCGAGTGTCGACAAAATGTCGCGGTTCGTCCGATAGTTTGCCCTCGGCATACAAAGACTCTGCAGCCTTGAATATTGTACTGTCAGGGTCTGACGTAATGTCCTTGACATTTAAATCATTCTCGAGAAGGTCCTCTATGCCCTCTTTGGCCCAGGTGAATTCGTCACCAATGTTTTTGGTCATGGGTATATTTGCCCCACATGTCTGCTCAGTGCACACATGGCTTGGATTGTTCTTGAGGTGCTGTCGCTCAGGACATATTTTGTTTTTGGTCACTAAAGATATTATCTCGTGACTACTGGTCACATCTTCTGCAATTGAGAAGACGGTCTGTGTAGCAGGCTGGAAGGGGGTTTCCCCCACCCCGGAGTAGAGGGAGTTATTATACATCCCATCGCACTGAATTCCTATGTTGTTTGGGTTTGGGGCCCCCCGCAATTTATTAATATTAACTAATTTCTTACATCTTTTTTTCATATCACTCTTATTCAGGGTAACTACTTTTTGCATGACAGTGTTACTTGTCTTTTGTAGTGAAGACTCGGCTGGAGGTGGAGTGTTGGTGGCCATAAAAATTTTGCGCAGAGATGAACTGCCAATGGGGGTTTGACTTAGACCTACTTGTAGGCCATAGTTTATTGTTGCTGCTTTCCTTCCCCTGGAATTGGACTGCACTTCCACATAGAGCTTGTGCATTTCTGAAGTGTAAGGGCACCTGCTGCATTTCAGCCGTAGTCGAGTACCCAGGCCACGCCTCTCCTCAGAGTCCATGTCCCAGGTCAGGTTGCCGTCACATCCAGGGTTGGTCCTCCCATGTTCTTTGAAGGCTGTATTGAACAGCCCACTTGTCTTTTGAAGATGGAGCAGTCTGTGGGAGTCTGAATCACACCTACCGAAACCAGTTTTGTATCTGATCACTTCCTATCCAGGTAAGTTCATTTTCAGAAATTAGAGTTACTCCCCTTAGACTATACTTGTTTTCAGAATTGAGACAAAAGACTCATCACAGTCTGTAGAAACTGGTTTTGTAACTTTTTTCCTCAAATAAATGATCAATTTTAAAGAATGTTATGATAATTTAGAGAATTAATTAATTATGAGTTAATTAAGCTGATTAATTGGACATGATCTTAGGTATACCCCTTATTTCAGGCATATTGGCCTTGTATGGGCCTATTCTAATAATTAGAAAATTTATTTACTAATTATAGAGGTTTAATTTCATTATTTATTAAATTTTAAAGAACTGTAGTTAATACCCCATGGATTCGGCCTGCATCAAAGCCTCAGGATTCTCTTTCTTTTTCAGGGGTCTTGGCCGCAGCAACCGGTGGCACCCAGGTCGCAGCATCATTTCCTGTTCCTCACTCACTGAGGGTGGATGTCTCACCAGTTCCAGGGTTTCCCGGTCTACTCTTGTGAATGGTGCAGGTGAGTTTTCTTCTTTGTTAAGTAATTTTCCCTTGTTGTGAGGCACATATTTGGGTTTAAAACCATAATTATTCCCTCTTTTGAATTTTCCCATCTTTGAAACCTGACTGAAAATTTTACTATGGATACTGTGTCTGAAGTGAAATTCACTTGTGATGTGCTTTTTCCATTGCTCTATCAGCATCATGTCAAGTTAAGGTGTTATCGTGCAATAATTTATTATCATGATAGGAATTAGCCAGCAACCCTCACTGCAAAATGTAGGTGTATTGAAGGGGGTAATGACAGTTTTACTGCTACAGAGAAACAACACTACTAGATCAGATTACCTCTCATCTCTTTTGATAACCTTCTCTTAATTGGCTGTCAGCTGCTTAGTGATTTCATTTTGAATTGTAAAATTAAATACATGTTAAAAACATTTTTTCTCAATAATTTGATTTTTTTGGCTATTTTTTTTAAAACCGGGTACAATATACCCTGAATGTGAAAATTACATGTAATCCCTCAAATCCTCTTGAAAACATAAGAAATAACACTGTTAGTCAGTTAATTACATATTTTATTTCATAATCACTGTAAAAAGTCAATATGAAGTTCACTTTCAATACATCTTCATATCACAGTTGCATTCATTCTGTGTAGGGGGGTTACATTAAATAGATAGTCATAATTTACATGTTTTTACATGTAATTTCTTCAGGTTACATATTTTAAATGTACAATATACATGTTATCTAAAAATGTCAAATTGGCCACTTTTTCACTTTGTTATCCATTTGGTTATAGGAAAAACACCAGAATTGCCTAGGTACAGGGGGCCGCCATCTTGGACACCCAAAGTTGTGCGGAGAAGAAAAGCTGACAGGAGTCCTGATTGGTCATTAAGAGAAAATCTTTGTGGTGGAATTTGACAGTTAAATATAAGTGATAAAAATTATATGTGATATAACAGAATGTGTGAAAAGATATAGGACTTGTAAAGGAAGACTTGAGATGAGGGGTGATATTTTGCTGGACAGTTTCATTCAGTGCGGATCTATACCAGTTGTAAACAGGCCAAAATTTAAAGGAAAAACGCAACGGCACGATATATTTTTCGTGGTGGAATTTTGAAGAAGAGGTGTTGAACTTTCTTTCACAGTGACTGATTTTTTGAATATTGATTATATAAATAAGTGACAGTGATTGGAATTTGTATGGAAGTCTATGGGAAAACATTTGGTGGTGTTTGTCCTATACAGAGGTGACAAGAACCAGTTTATGAGGTAAGTGTAAGAAAATAGTGCATTTTTAGCGCCATTTGTCATTTTGATTACAAAATGGATGCATTTTTTGATAATTTAAAAAAAAAGTTAAATCTTAAAAGTGAGCGGGGCCCCCAGGGGGGCACCTGGTGTGTATTGGAGGGGTAGGATTTCCTCTTCTGGCTATGGGTTACAAACTGTTTACTGGCCAGAGGAGGGTAGAAAGGTTGAAAAGGCACACAGAGTTGCCCTTATGGCAGAATGGAAACTGACACGGAGTCAGTTTCCACGTGACAATGTCGAGTGCAGCCACTTATGTCACAATAAGCTTTGTGTGAACCCCCAGCACCTGGTAGTAGAGTCCCACTCTATCAACCAGGAGAGGATTCACTGCCAGTTGCAGGGGCTGTGCAGCAAGTCACACATGCCCTGGTGCATTTTATGTAATTATATTTTAATTACATGTAAATTTCATTTCATTTAGTTAGGGGTTTTGAATAGCTGTGCTCATTTTTTTTGCTTAACTTTTGAGATTTTTGGTCTTTAAATGACTTTGAAAACATCATATTCTTTCTGTAGTTTACTTCCTCCTGATGCTGTTCATAGAGTTTATACAGCTTTTTTCTTTTGATTACTCTAGTATTTCTATATTTTTTTGATTTCTGATAGTTTTTTGCCTTTCATAATTATTTTGAATATTTTTCAGAGATTGACTAACCCTCCCCCCTTCTGGGATGGGGGCACCCACACCAGCACACAAGATCTTTATGGATTCCCCCGGGCCATTATTTGTACTGTGAGCTGCACTGTGCGCCCGACCGTGAAAGTTGCGTGCAAAAGTGACATTCTTAGGCAGTGACCGCCTTAGACGCCTATTGAAGCTCTCCACTTTCTGTGTATTGGTATTAAGAATGGATTTGTCTAGCACTGACGGGGCAAGCCGCCTATTGACACAGGCCTGGAGAATCCTTGCATTGGCCCTGGAGTATGGAATTTTGAAGTTTCCATCAAGGTAAGCACTTTTAGCGAGCCAATTTTTCTTTCCACCCTTGCATACTAAGGAGTGTTTTTTGCATAAGGCATGTTCACCCATGTAGCAGCAAATTATGGCATCACTCACATAGGAGAGTTGCTTCTTAATTTTGCATGCATGACCTGTGCATTTTATTTGTGCCTGATTTATTTCACCAGTGCATCTGTCTGTAAAATCTATAGCAAAGTTATGTAGCAGTTTGATTCTTTCAGCTTTAGTATTTTTGGGCATAATTTTCTGTAAAGATTCATCTTTCTTGATGGCCTTTCTGACATTTTCAGCAAGATGCCGAGTGTCGACAAAATGTCGCGGTTCGTCCGATAGTTTGCCCTCGGCATACAAAGACTCTGCAGCCTTGAATATTGTACTGTCAGGGTCTGACGTAATGTCCTTGACATTTAAATCATTCTCGAGAAGGTCCTCTATGCCCTCTTTGGCCCAGGTGAATTCGTCACCAATGTTTTTGGTCATGGGTATATTTGCCCCACATGTCTGCTCAGTGCACACATGGCTTGGATTGTTCTTGAGGTGCTGTCGCTCAGGACATATTTTGTTTTTGGTCACTAAAGATATTATCTCGTGACTACTGGTCACATCTTCTGCAATTGAGAAGACGGTCTGTGTAGCAGGCTGGAAGGGGGTTTCCCCCACCCCGGAGTAGAGGGAGTTATTATACATCCCATCGCACTGAATTCCTATGTTGTTTGGGTTTGGGGCCCCCCGCAATTTATTAATATTAACTAATTTCTTACATCTTTTTTTCATATCACTCTTATTCAGGGTAACTACTTTTTGCATGACAGTGTTACTTGTCTTTTGTAGTGAAGACTCGGCTGGAGGTGGAGTGTTGGTGGCCATAAAAATTTTGCGCAGAGATGAACTGCCAATGGGGGTTTGACTTAGACCTACTTGTAGGCCATAGTTTATTGTTGCTGCTTTCCTTCCCCTGGAATTGGACTGCACTTCCACATAGAGCTTGTGCATTTCTGAAGTGTAAGGGCACCTGCTGCATTTCAGCCGTAGTCGAGTACCCAGGCCACGCCTCTCCTCAGAGTCCATGTCCCAGGTCAGGTTGCCGTCACATCCAGGGTTGGTCCTCCCATGTTCTTTGAAGGCTGTATTGAACAGCCCACTTGTCTTTTGAAGATGGAGCAGTCTGTGGGAGTCTGAATCACACCTACCGAAACCAGTTTTGTATCTGATCACTTCCTATCCAGGTAAGTTCATTTTCAGAAATTAGAGTTACTCCCCTTAGACTATACTTGTTTTCAGAATTGAGACAAAAGACTCATCACAGTCTGTAGAAACTGGTTTTGTAACTTTTTTCCTCAAATAAATGATCAATTTTAAAGAATGTTATGATAATTTAGAGAATTAATTAATTATGAGTTAATTAAGCTGATTAATTGGACATGATCTTAGGTATACCCCTTATTTCAGGCATATTGGCCTTGTATGGGCCTATTCTAATAATTAGAAAATTTATTTACTAATTATAGAGGTTTAATTTCATTATTTATTAAATTTTAAAGAACTGTAGTTAATACCCCATGGATTCGGCCTGCATCAAAGCCTCAGGATTCTCTTTCTTTTTCAGGGGTCTTGGCCGCAGCAACCGGTGGCACCCAGGTCGCAGCATCATTTCCTGTTCCTCACTCACTGAGGGTGGATGTCTCACCAGTTCCAGGGTTTCCCGGTCTACTCTTGTGAATGGTGCAGGTGAGTTTTCTTCTTTGTTAAGTAATTTTCCCTTGTTGTGAGGCACATATTTGGGTTTAAAACCATAATTATTCCCTCTTTTGAATTTTCCCATCTTTGAAACCTGACTGAAAATTTTACTATGGATACTGTGTCTGAAGTGAAATTCACTTGTGATGTGCTTTTTCCATTGCTCTATCAGCATCATGTCAAGTTAAGGTGTTATCGTGCAATAATTTATTATCATGATAGGAATTAGCCAGCAACCCTCACTGCAAAATGTAGGTGTATTGAAGGGGGTAATGACAGTTTTACTGCTACAGAGAAACAACACTACTAGATCAGATTACCTCTCATCTCTTTTGATAACCTTCTCTTAATTGGCTGTCAGCTGCTTAGTGATTTCATTTTGAATTGTAAAATTAAATACATGTTAAAAACATTTTTTCTCAATAATTTGATTTTTTTTGGCTATTTTTTTTAAAACCGGGTACAATATACCCTGAATGTGAAAATTACATGTAATCCCTCAAATCCTCTTGAAAACATAAGAAATAACACTGTTAGTCAGTTAATTACATATTTTATTTCATAATCACTGTAAAAAGTCAATATGAAGTTCACTTTCAATACATCTTCATATCACAGTTGCATTCATTCTGTGTAGGGGGGTTACATTAAATAGATAGTCATAATTTACATGTTTTTACATGTAATTTCTTCAGGTTACATATTTTAAATGTACAATATACATGTTATCTAAAAATGTCAAATTGGCCACTTTTTCACTTTGTTATCCATTTGGTTATAGGAAAAACACCAGAATTGCCTAGGTACAGGGGGCCGCCATCTTGG